CATGTACTCTGTGAAATAAGATGAGAGCAATATATGCAGGTTTAAAGGGATGGTTCGGATAATTAGAGGAGGGGTTTGTATGAGGCGCTTATCCATCAGTGTAGTAGATGGCGGTCTACTCTACAACTTACACTGCGTCACAGCTCCAGTAACGGTTTATCTCAGAGGAAAAGCTCATCGCTGGGTGATATAAAGCAGCAACAGGGCGGCCGCTCTTCCAGCACAAACAAAAGTTTCTCGCGGTGGCAGATGGTGAGCCGATGGCAAAACCACTTCCAACATGTTTATCCTCTTTAGTCAAGCAAACCCGAAAATAAACACAAATAGAGTGACACTAAGAAGGGGGGGGGCAGATGTTTATTCAGCTTAATTTGGTATTAACAATGGAATGAGGGCTGCTCTCATATCGACCATGGTCTTTATCTATTTGTGTCTGAAATGTAAAAGGTGAGTTGTGTGTATATATAGTTTGTAGTGAATTATACAATAATTGGCACATATAAGCTCTCTTGACGGTGTTCGCTCTCCGTTTATCTTTCACTCCTGTGCCGCAGCACCTCTCTCTTTCTCAAGCTCACTGCACTCCGCTCGCTCCACACTGATTGTTTTCTAATTGGTGGAGTGCCAGTGGTCGTGGTTGTTATGGTAACCTGCGAGCTGGCACTTGGAAGGGTTAGGTGGTGGTGGTGGTAGTGATTGGGCGAGGGTGGGAGGGGGGGGGGGCGCACCCACTCAAGAAAACGGGAGGGCAGCACTTATCCCAAGGCCTGGGTGGTCACTTCAGAAAATGGACTCTGTGTGCGCGGGCGTGTGTTTGACATCCTAACTACTCGCTGCTGTGCATGCACCTAAGCGTGCGAGTGCGCAAGAAGAAATGGTTTCAGAGAGAGAGAGAGATAGTGTGTGTGTGTGTGTATGCACAGGGTGGGCAAAAGAGTCCTGCTCTCCAAGTGAAATTCTTGAAAAAGAGCTCCTTAGCTGGTGTCCTTTTTCTCTTCTCGCAGCCGGATTCCCACAGCTTCTAGCTTCCCCCTATGTGAGCCACTCTGTCCATCTGTGTACGGAGATGGAAGAGAGAACGACTGTACATCCACGCTATGCTGACTAAACATGAAAATGCATCTTTGTTTTTCTCTCTCGCCACCCAACACGAGCCTGGCTAGGGCCTGAGTGGCAGTAAATATAGGGAAGACAACTTACTGTCGCATCCAGTCTGCTGTGTCAGCGCTTATTCTAAAATGTCAAAAGGTGGATCACACAGTGAAGGTGATGTCACTCAGCGGTATGTATGTGCATCCTGTCAAATAAGAACAACCTGCAAATGTGGAGGCCCGTTGTTCACACGTAGCATCATCGAAATGAGACGCTTTAATGTGGAGCTCGTCCTATGAACAGGATGATAACATGGGGAATACTTTTGTGGAAAGAAGCAGGAAGAAACATTCAGATAAGAGTGGATTATATTTGGCCTGTGTGAGACACACATTCATGCCTCTCTCTAAGTGTAATCCTGTGTGTGTGTGTGTGTGTGTGTGTGTAATGGGTTCACTAAATGAGTCTGCATTAAACTCTTCCATGCATAAGGAATGGAGCAGGCGGTGCCCTTTGGAATTAAAGGTGCTGGGCTGGTTGAGAAGCAGACAGTGTGATATATTACAGTGCTATGTGGTTAAATAACTGTGCCTCCAGAATAGTGCTGTTTAAAGCAAACCGCCGATAACAAAAAAATAAATCTCTTTACACTCACAAACACGGAGAAGCACACATGCAGCCAGGCACGTGAATGTGTGCTGTGGGAATATAAGTGACTTATATGGGAACTGCCCATATGATGCGGTGATGTCTGAACTCCTGCAGAGACGACGACACTGTTGCAGAAAAATGGGCGCGACCGTGTTGTTCATTTCAATCATTCAGTGGAAAGATTGGGGAACAAAGGAAAACCTCATTGTTATTTCAGAGGCCTGCTGCACCTCTACTTTGGAGTTTGTCAAAGCTTTTGACAAATTTAAGCATTAGGGGCAACTCCTGAGTGCCTATTGATTGGTAATGTGCTTTTTGCTACACGTGTATCCCAGAGATAGATATGAAAGAATAGCATTTATGAGCTGTTTTAGTGCTTGGCTCAGACCCAGCTCCAGAGTAAAATCACTATGGGGGCTTTTTAAATTAGTGGAGGTGCACCAGTGGTTACAGAGCAGACTGCACGGGTAAGCAAAGGCAACATCAAATAGCACAGTGCTGGTATAGAATCTGCATATCTGATATTCTGCTGTGTGGTAACAGATGACCAGAAATCAAAGGCAGGTAGCACAAATTAAACAAAACTGTTCAGACTTTTGCTACTTGAAATGATTGCTCCATTAAAAAGACATCAACTTGTTGATGCAGCAATATTTTTCCAAAGAAGCCAACAAGGTGAAAGTAGCAACTGCCAAATTGCATTATGAAGTATTACATCCTGTTCACCGAACATTCCAGCCGATCTCTATTTTCTAATCAAGACGGACTAAAAGTTGTTATCATTTCCACTGACTCAGCCGGTTATTTGTGTATTTGGTCATCGAGCAGCACTCACAGCTTCCAGAGGAGGGTGTAAGTCAGAGAGGGCCATCCAATTCCAGCTGACGGTGTTGTTTCAGCCCTTAAATGATCATCAGTATCCAACATTATCAAGGACGAGGCAGTTCTTCTTTCATAGTCTGGCTCTCTGAGCCATTCACAATATCCATGAGGCGCTTTCTAACATCTATCTCCATCTAATACTCTGTTTGAACACACACACACACACACACACACACACACACACACACACACACACA